CAGTGTGCGTGGCTGTCCCAGGGATGGCACGATGTGGGTTGGTGTCCTTTGGGAGGAGGTCCGGCGTGGGGGGGTGTCCTGTGGGTGAAGTGGCAGGGATTGGTGTCCCAGGGGTGGCACTGCAGGGGCAGGTGTCCTATGGGTGATGTGACGTGGGTGGGTGTCCCAGGGGTGACACAGCACAGCTGTGTGTCCCCTGGGTGCCCCTGCATGTCCCCCCATCCCACTGCACCCCACCCTTTCCCACCCCATCCCATCCCACCCCACCCCATCTCATCCCCCTGTACCCCCGTCTCCATCCCTCTGTCACCCCCAAGGCCACCCCTGGGACCCCCCCGCTGTCCCAACCCACCTACTGTGGGTGAACAGACCCCCCCTCAACCTCCCCCCCCCCCCAGGGGCACCCACATCCCCCAGGGACACGAAGTGACACCAGGTGACACCACAGGACACGGCTCTGGGGACGTTTACTGACCTCGAGGGTCCCAAAGCAGGGGACAAAGCGCGGCAGGAGCCCCACCCGGGGGGTCCCCACCCCCCTTCCCCAGCGCGGGGGGCTCGGGGGAGCGAGAATCCACCCCCCCGAGCTGCACTTTGGGCTGGGGGGGACACCAGGGGTGGGGTCCCCCTTTTGCCCTCCCCGGGGGGCTCAAGCAGAAGCGCTGAGGGGGTTGGGGGGGTCGGTGCCGTGCCACCGGTAGCACCAAATGGGGGGACACTGTAGAGGGACACTGGGGTGCCCCCCTTCCTGCCCCCCAAGCCGGGGGGGGGGCCCTGCCCGTCCTGGCACGGCGGCGGGCGCGGGGTGGGGGGCACGTGTGGGGCTCCTCATGGCCCTCGGGGGCGAGTGATGATGCGATAGGGGGGCTGGGCACTGCCACGCTTCCCGCGGGGCACCCCCGGCGTCCCCGTGCCCGGGGGGGCACTGCCCGAGCCGGGCTCTGGCTCTGCGGGATGAAAGGAGAGGGGTGTCAGGTGAGGGGGCACCGAACCACCACAAAGAACTAACCCACAGTGAGGATCTGCTGCCCCACAGAAATGGGGTTCGTGCCCCCCTTCGCCCCGGGAGTCCCCCAGTCCCTGGGGGCACCCACACGGGCCCCCCCCGGCTGGCAGCACTGCCTGGCACCCCCGGCTGGCACCCCAAAAGCCGGGGTTTCCCCGCGGGAAAGCGCAGCTGGGAAGGGGAGGGGGAGAGGGAGGAGGGTGGGGGGCACCCGCCGCCCCCCAGCTGGGCACGGGGTGGCAGGGGGGGCTGGCACCGGGGTATCCCCTGGGACAAGGGGGCTCCGGGAGCTGCTTCGGTCCAAGAGGGTGCCCGTGGTCCCCTTTGACCTTGGGGGGCTCCTTGGATCTCCCATGGCTTGAGGGGCTCCGTGCTCTCCCTTGGGAGACCCTTCCCCAGGAACACCCTTGAGCCTCGGGGAGCTCCAGGGTCTCTCCTGGTCCTAAAGGGGCTCCATGGTTTCCTTTGGATTGAGAGGGGCTCCATGGTCTCCCTTGAGCCTCGAGGAGCTCCAGGGTTTCTCCTGCTCTGAAAGGGTCTCCATGGTTGTGTCTCTCAATCCAAGAGTGTCCCCATGGTCTCCTTTGGATTGAGAGGGTCTCCATGATCTCCCTTGGGAGACCCTTCCCCAGGAACTCCCTTCAACCCTGGGGAGCTCCAGGGTCTCTCCTGGTCCAAAAAGGTCTCCATGATCGCCTCTCTCAATCCAAGAGTCTCCATGGTCTCCTTTGACCCTCCCTTTGTTTGAGAGGGTCTCCATGATCTCCCTTAGGAGACCCTTCCCCAGGGACTCCCTTCAACCTCAGAGGGCTCCAGAGTTTCTCCTGGTCCCAAAAGGTCTCTGTGGTCCCCTCTCTCCATACAAGAGGGTCTCCATGGTCTTCTTTGGATTGAGAGGGGCTCTGTGGTCTCCCTTGAACCTCGGGGAGCTCCAGGGTTTCTCCTGCTCTGAAAGGGTCTCCATGGTCACCCCTCTCAACCCAAGAGGGTCCTCACGGCCCCCTTTAACCCTGGGGGGCTCCCTGGTTCTCCTTTGGATTGAGAGGCTCTCCATGGTCTCCCTTGAACCTCGGGGAGATCCAGGGTCTCTCCTGACCCAAAAGCATCTCTCCATGGTCACCTCTCTCCATCAGAGAGGGTCCCCATGGTCTCCCTTGGTTTGAGAGAGGCTCCAGAGCTTCCCTTGGCCCTGGAGGGTTCCAGGGGTTCCCTTGATCCAGGAGGATCCCTTCATGGTCTCCCTTGAATTGAGAGGGTCTCCAGGGACTCCCTTAAATCTTGGGCAGCTCCAGAGTTCCCCTTGGTCCAAAATGGTCTCCATGGTCACCTCTCTCAATCCAAGAGTGTCTCCATGGTCTCCCTTGCTTTGAGAGGGGCTCCATGAGGGGGGCTCCATAGTCTCCCTAGAACCTTGGGAAGCTCCAGGGTTTCTCCTGGCCCAAGTGGGTTTCCATTCCATGGTTGTGTCTCTCAATCCAAGAGGGTCTCTATGGTCTCCCTTGGTTTGAAAGGGGCTCCAGCATTCCCCTTGGCCCTGGGGGGCTCTGGGGGTTCCCTTGATCCAGGAGGGACTCCATGGTCTCCCTTGTTTTGAGAAGGGCTCCATCGTGTCTCTTGAGCCTTGGGGAGCTTCAGGGTTTCCCTTGGTCCAAGAGGAGCTCCATGGGTGTTTCTCAGTCCAAGAGGGGATCCATGGTCTCCCTTGAACCTTGGGGAGCTCCAGGGTTTCCCTTGACCCTGGGGGGCTCCCTTGGCCCAAGAGGGTCTCCATGGACTCCCTTGGTCCTGAGGAGCTCTCTTGGCCCAGGAGAATCTCCATGGATGCCTCTCTCAATCCAGGAGGATCTCCATGGTTATCTCTCTCAATCCGAGAGATTTCCATGGTTGTCTTTCAATCCAAGAGGGTCTCTACAGTTGCCTCTCTCAATCCAAGAGTGTCCAAGGTCCCTTCTCTCAATCCAAGAGGATCTCTGTCATTGCCTCTCTCAATCCAACAGGATCTCCATGGTTGCCTCTCTCAGTCCAAGTGTGTCTCCATGGCTGCCTCTCAATCCAAGAGGATCTGTATGGTTGCCTCTCTCAATTCAGGTGGATCTCCATGGTCCTTTCTCTAATCCAAGAGAATCTCCATGGTTGCCTCTCTCAATCCAAGAGGATCTCTATCATTGCCTCTCTCAATCCAAGAGGATCTCCATGGCTGCCTCTCTCAATCCAAGAGGATCTCCATGGCTGCCTCTCTCAATCCAAGAGGATCTCTATCATTGCCTCTCTCAATCCAAGAGGATTTCCATGGCTGCCTCTCTCAATCCAACAGGATCTTCATGGTTACCCCTCAATCCCAGAGGATCTCCATGGCTGCCTCTCTCAATTCAAGAGGATTTCCATGGTTATCTCAATCCAAGAGGATCTCCATGGCTGTCTCTCAATCAAAGAGGATCTCCATGGATGCCTCTCCCAATCCAAGAGGATCCCCATGGTTGCCCCTCAATCCAAGAAGATCTCCATGGACGCCTCTCCCAGTCCAAGAGGATCTCCACTGTTCTCACCCCAGGAGGGTCTCCATGCTCTCCCCTGCTCCCGGAGCTCTCCCTGCCCCACTCCTGGGGGCTCCAGCCCCCCGTGCTCCGTGCCCGCTCCCGGGGGTGCCGCGGGCGCTCCGGCTGGTGCGGGGGCAGGGCGGGGGGTGGTTACCTGGCCAGATGATGGCTTCCAGCAAGGTGACCCTTCTAGCCAGGACCTCCAGCCGGGCCTGCTGCCGCAGGAGGGTTTGGAAGCTACTGGCCTGGGGGAGAGGGAGAGAGCAGAGCAGAGCAGAGCAGAGCAGAGCGTTGGCCCCGCAGGGGCACGAGGGGCATGGGGGGCATGGCAGGGCGGGGGGCATGGAGGACATGGCAGGGTGGGGGGCATGGCAGGGCAGGGGGCACGGCAGGGGGGGGGCTGATGCGCTGGGTGGGGGTGCCAGGTCTGCCGGGTGGGTGCCCTCCCAGGGGGTCCCGTGGCCCCAGGGGGCTGTGAGGGCCTCCCCCCTCCCTGGGGGTCCCTCGTGGGGACCCTCCAGCAGGCACAGCTGGCTCAGTGTCCCTGAGAGCGCCCTGAGGGGAGCACTGATGTCCCCTACTTGGGGACGCTCCTGCTGCCACCCTCAGCATGCTGAGCCCCCCAAAATGTGGGGGGACATGTCCCCAACCTGTCCAGGAGGACACTGATGTCCCCTACCTGGGGACACTCTCCCTGCCACCCCCAGTACACTGAGCTCCCCAAAAGACTGAGGGACATGTCCCCAACCTGTCTAGGGGGATACAGATGTCACCAACCTGGGGACATTGCCACCCCCAGCACACAGAGCCACCCAAAATATGAGGGGACATGTCCCCAACCTGTCCAGGGGGACATTAATGTCCCTTACTTGGGGACATTCCCTCTGCCACCTCCAGCACACAGAGCCCCCCAAAATATGAAGGGACATATCCCCAGCATGTCCAGGGGGACATTAATGTCCCCAACCTGGGGGCATTTCCCCTGCCATCCCCAGCATGCTGAGCTCCCCAAAATGTGGGGGGACATATCCCCAACCTGTCCAGGGGGACACTGATGTCCCCTACTTAGGGACAGTCTCCCTGACACCCCCAGCATGTTGAGCTCCCCAAAACGTGGGGGGACATGTCCCCAACCTGTCCAGGCAGCCATTAATGTCACCT